GGTGCTTCGCGGTGGTACTAGACTGGGCCGTGCCAGCACGGCTGCTAGACGGTCGCGCCCCAGCTATTCTTTCCGGCGATGGGCTGAGTGGTTTCCGGTGGAATGATCCGTCTCTAGAGTATCCGCCTCTTCGGAGCTCCACATTGCGATGGACCTCGCCCATATCTGGGGTACCGGCGGGGAGGCCTTCGGGTAGCGACTCGTCCTGTAGCCTGGCGAAGGACGAATCCTCGCGACTGTGTCCCAGAGCACTCTCCTCGTGCTCAGTCTCGTACTGTTCTGGCGGCGGCGATCCGATCTGGCGTAGGCGGTTGGCGAGCTCGGATCCTCGGAAGTTGGGAGCAGGCTTAGCGGCCTGGCTGACCTTCATGTTGGCGGTCATGGTGAGGTATACCGGACTGAAGTTCTCGTTCTCGTATTCTATCTGGCCGCTGACGGTTCGCACAGGATCGCTGGGTGGTGGCATAAGGTTTGTGGTGCATTCCGACGATGCCTCTTCGTGTACTGTGCCGTCCTGAGAAGGCCCCTCTTGGTCTGCTTGTTGTTGCTGCTCGTCTTGTTCCGTCTGTTGCGCGTTGGGTCGCGATTTGGGCCATGGCGGCGGGCTCGACGGCAGTGGCACGGCACTGAGGCCCTTCAGCAGCCCGAGCCTGCGCTTTGGCTGGGCAGAGTCGTCTGATGCGCCTGCAGCCGGCCGCTGGAAGATGTTCTCGAGGCCTGTGGGGCCGAACAGGTCGGTCTGGTTGCCGTAGCCGACTTCGCCGTTGACGAGCCTGCGTCTCCACTCGGGCGTGTCCTGGGATCCTGGCTCTTTCGTGGGTGATCTCGCGACCGTGTGGTGCGCTACTGTTCCGAATTGCATGCCGGAGCCCTGCGAAATGGAAAAGGACGAATACGAGGCGCGACGCGGGGGCTCGACGTGTGACGCGTTGGGCGACGACGGGGCGGGGGGCACGTTGATGTCGCTGAGGCTGCGCTCGAGGAGGGCATTGCGCTGCTTGGGCGGGCGCAGCTCTTTCGCGATGCTGCGCACCTGGATCTCGGAGAAGGAGCCTGAGGACTGCCGCATGCGGGGAAGGCGGCTGCGGGCTTTGGCCGACGCGCTCTGGGGCGTTTTCGTCGCGGGCGGGCTCTGGGCATTGTGGGCGCCTGTGTCGGGCGAGGGCTGGTCAACCCACTCCTCAGACAGGCCCTCGAGGTAGGCGAGCGTGTTGGCCATGGTGGTGGTGGTGGTGGATGTCTCGCGTAGGCCGGGTGGCCGTGATGTCTCGGGAGGGCGACGCTGAAGATGCGGTGAGAGGGAAACTTGTTGGCGAGTCCCCATGCGCGTCGAAAGAATGCTATGCTAGCGCAAACGGCATTGCTTCTGCAGCAGCGGCTTCAATGGCGCAAGAGTGGTGCTGCAACGCGTCGCCGAGTCGTGCTGACTTGTTTATCGATATCCTCCAGGGCTAGCATCTACTATGACATCTCGTCCCGACTGCACGGCCATAATGGGTGCGCTAACTCGTCATCACCACGGCAACCACATCGATCTCCCGCCTCGCGACAATGCGCCGACGAGGCCTATCCCGATAATCCAGAGCACTAGGCCACCCCAAAAAACGGCTATTCCTTCTCGGCGGCGTAGCAGATCCTCCACAGCTGTCTTGGCGATATCCTTCGCTTGACACCCGAGCTCCTCCAGGCCTTGTTCTATTTACGCCGCGTGGCAGCCACGATACACACACGCCGCCCGAACATGCGATCCGACCTGGCCCCACCTATTTCTACCACACCGTCACCACTACGCATATAATACTGTCACATGCTGGGACTATACTCGAAGAGGTTGCATGAACAAAAGAGGGCCCTTGGATCGTGCCCTTCAGAGCAATGCCGCCGAGCTTGCATCCTCACTTGAAGCGGGGACTGGACTTTGACGCCTTCCATGTCGACCCCGAAGACCTCATCGAAGAACCACCGGCGGAGTACGAAGACCCTGCGCATAGGGCAGCGAAGCGACGAAGAATCGAGGCGATTGCATCCCGTTACCTACGCGGCCGACCGCCCGTCATAATCACAGCCGCGCTCAGAGGGCCTTTCGACAATGGCTGGAAGAACCCGTGGACGAAGCCCATAGTAGAGAAGCGGAGGGTATCAGGCAAGAACAATGCGGTAGCGGGCACAAGTAACGCCAATAGCAAGAAGGTCGCTGCCGGTCGCAACAACACCACCAAACGTAGGAGCAGCTCAAGGCTGAATGGAGGCAACGGGAAGGACGTCGTGGAAGATGTTGCGCCCCAGATGGCGTCACCAGAAACATCTAGAGCTGCCAGGGATGATTTGGACCACCGCGAACACGACGATAGCCTCGACGAAATCGAAGTCCCGCCCGCGACAGCACCCTTACCCGACGATGATGACGCACCCGGTACCGCAGAGCCCTTCAGCACAAGCACGAACAATTGCATACAAAACCGCTCCCCCATGACCAACCCGTTCTGGTTGCGCCGCCCTGAATCTGCAAGAGTCGACATGCGCAAGGCTGCAAATCGAAACACCGATACGTCCCCAACGCGGTCCCGGTCGCGAAATAGCACTTCGCAAACCCAGACCCAAACACTGTCAGAACTACGGCTCAGTCTGCCAAAAGCGCCCATTCAGGCTCAGAAGTCAGCTCCGGAGACACCAGCACAAGAGGAGTGGAGATCAAGTGCCTCAGCTTCGATGGTCATCTCATCGCCGGTCAAGGATGCTGATACGCCTGTTCGAGCTCAGCCTGAACCAACTGCAAGCCCACCACGTTCGCAACGGACTGTACCGATCATCACTTCTTCAATGGGCAGTCAAGGAAGGCCGACAAGACAAGACATACAACAGTCTGCAGAACGTCTTGGCCGACCTGCATCGACATCAGAAAGGCAGTCATGGCGCTCCAGTCGTCGAAATACGCAGGATGCGCTCACGCCTACAGATGCGCAGCATGGTCCTGTGACCTCGCCTTTGCCGGCTTCTTCGACTGGCAAAGTTCGTAGAAAGACAAAGCTGAAACCAAGAGCAGTCAATTTCGACTCATCGCCAGAGAAGGTTCCTTCTGCCAAGAGATCCTATGCAGAGGACGTCATCCACAACGAGGCCGACGATGAGCTGCAGGTGGGCCGAACAGAGGCAATTGTGGTCGATGTACAAGCGTCTCCACAAGTCGAAGGAGATGCCAGTGTGATCCAGAATGAAAACTCTGAACTGCGCACGAGTCGGTCTAGTCGAGACTCTGACTGGTCTACACAAGCCGCCATGATGCGAGCTCAGCTTGAGTTTCAGCAAAGCACCTTCCCCATGATGTCCCCGGAGGTTCTCCAATTGGACTCGCAAACCTCACTTCTTGATACACCCCGTCCCATACTAGCCGCAGCCAGTGCAGCCGTTACACCTCTTTCTGCCTTTACTGTCCAGCGAGACGAGCCACTTGCACCCGAGACTATTCTCCAAGCTCCACCGATCAGCACGCAAGACCTCTTCGGTGCAGCGTCTCCGTTCGCATTTAGTACCGTGAAAAAGAAGCCGGAAGAAACGCAAAGAAGCAACTTGAGGTTCGCTTTCAGCCCTAGTGATGGGGTGCTGAGAGCTGACGCGGTCGCTAAGAGCCCCACTCCTACTGCTGAGCGGGTCCCGCTGAAGAACAAGGACAACATCACGTCGTTTTGGAGCTTCACCGCGGACAAAGCTTCCCAAATATCTCACGGATCCTTTGGTGACAGGTCGAAAGGGGTATTGAATGAGGTCGGATTTCCAGCGTTGAACATCGACACGTCACTTGGCGACTTCGGCCCTACCGGTAGTCTGGATTTCACAGATCGCTTTCTTCGCAATATAGACGACACTTGAATACTATGACAAAGAACCAAGATCATTTCTGCACGCAGCGCACTCCCGGTAGGAGCACCGCGGAAGCATCGGCATGGCTGCGTGCTCCAAGTGGCTCTGAGCGCCGTGGCACTTGAATATTGCCAGAGAGAAGCATTCTGTACCGGTATCACAGCGACGTGCAGCGATAGTCACGTAAGGATGCAGCAGGCGGTGAGAGGCCACGTTCTCGAGTGATTGGACGTCGACACCTCTCGTCCATGCACAGTCGATGCAAGCAGCAGACCTTGGGGGAGCACGGATTGATATCGGCGAAAGGGGGTGAGGCAATCGCGATGGGACGGTATAGCCGGTACCGCATAGTTTGGATACGGGCCTTTGCACGGCCACGCTGGGGAGGGCGCGGAGGCGGGAGGAAGTCTAGCTTGTGTCACGGTGCTTGGGAAATTGACGGTGCTGTCCAAATAACGTGCAAAGTGAGGCGGCCGCGAATCTCAGCGCCCTATCGTGACAGCATGTGTCGTGGGTTGTAGCGTCAACGTTGTGCTGCTAGTGCTGTCCGTGAACCGATATCGTCTGTGTGCACGGACGCTCCTTCCTCGTCTTCACCAGACAGGAACCCATGACAAGAGCGGCCAGCATTGCGTGCGCAGTTGCCGCCAAGCCCGATTGCCTCTGTCGCTATCAATCAACAAGCCACCTGTTCACTGCCTCCGTACTGCAGCAGAACAAACTCGCGTCCACTCACTGCACTCGGCGTCGCGAAACAACCACCACCACTCGGACCACCTGCACTGACGCGCTTTGTTACGCGGTGGCAGTCAGGCAGACGTCATTGGGCCGCTCGCTTGGGATAATCTTTGCGCCACTCTGGACTGGACGCCAAACCACACAGAATTAGAACGTGGACCTCTCGCCCTTCTCACTGGTCTCGTCGCTCGCTAGCACCCTGGAACACCGCCTGCAGCCCTCGCATCCGCCAGCGCCAGCTCTGCACGCTAATCTAGAAGATCCGCCCCTGCTGGCCCTCCGCTGTGTCTCCGCCGCGCCCAAACGACCGCATCCTGGCCAACGTCCTGAGCGCCCGCCCGGCAATATCTGCCACCCATCCCGCCACGAGGTGCCTTCCTGACGGTCGAATCAATGTCGAGCCCATGTCACCCCAGCCGGACGCCCAAGGAAATACCTCACCCCCCGCATCGGTGAGGTCGACGGCCAGCCATGGACTGCCCACGCCCGACGCCGAGCACGACCAAGTGACGCCCAAGAGCCTCGCGCAGACGGGCCGTTCACGCACCGCGCCCATTGTCAACGAGAGCAACCTCTGGAAGTCGTCAATTGACCGCCCCCAGCTCGACGAGCGCGACAGCATCTTCGCAACCACGTACCTCGTCTCCGACAGCCCCATCTCCTCCCCGCGGGCCAGCGCACGCAATGTAGATTCTGCCAACGATGCTCCCGAACACAGTCTGGCTGAGATGGCAGCGCCAGCACCTCCCCAGAGGCGATTGATGGATCCGCCCATCATACGCAGGAAGCACTCTACCCTTCCTCCGCCTTCTTCCATCGACCACCAAGCCGTGCTGACTACCCCCTTTAACCCCCGCGCAGCCATTGCCGCCGGCATGACTTTCGACGCCATCCATCACAGTCCTCCGCCCTACATGAGCCCAGTCGATTCGCCCGTACAACACCCCACCACCCCGCCACGTCCCGAGCTCCAATACGAGGCTTTGCTGGAGAGCGAAGAGCGGCGCAGGAACAGGGAGTGGCGCGAAGGGAAGCCTGTGCCATTCAAGGGCAACATGATCTTGGATCAGCCCGTCATGGACGTAGAAATGGAGAAGAAGATTGAAGCAACGCTTGCCAAGACCGAACAACCCACTTCCGCACGCAGTCGAAAAGCAAGTCACTATCTGCGCGTATTCAAGGATGGCGATCCTACCGAAGAGCCGAAGAAGAAGGACACCAAGACAAAAGAGCGTCCTTCTGCTGAGAGGACCCTGTCCGCACTTTCAGAAGAAGGCTCAACCGAGACTATCGGCCTCATTGACCAGCTGCGCCGCGCATCACTAGCTTCCTCCGTCGTGCAATCACCTCTAGGCGGTCCGACTGATTCATACTTCGATGCGAAAGCGGCGCCCCGCACCGAGTCAGGCGTTGCCTCTCCACCTCCCAACGGAAGCACGCGACCAGACGCAAGTTCTCAGGACAAGCACAAATTCCCAAGGCGTCTTCTCGAGGACATTCGCGGCTTCGGCAACCTGACTCCTGGTGCGGACCCACGGTCTTCGTTCTCTCGCAGTCTACCCACATCAGCTGTCGAAAAGGTTCACGCGCATGCACCAACGAACGGAGCGACACCTTATGACGAGCCGTCCGATTATTTTCAGGTTAAAGACGGAGGCGATAAAGAACGTACGCCAGGCTCGGAGGAAGATGAAGAATCGGAAAAAGAACAGATCTCTTCGGCTCTCTACTTTCCCCATCGCCGGCTTAAGACAAGTGAGCAGGTGCCTACAGAACCACAGAACCGAGATAGAGAGGTGAATGCTGTCGATAAGCGGGCTTCAACTCACGAGGTTGCGGGGCCGAAAGGGTGGGCCACAGAGAAGGATGTTCAAACTCCACAAGAAGTAGAAATTTCTCTAAAGGCCCAAGATACCAATCAATGCCTTCATGGTGATATCTCCACGGCGACTTCCTTGAAGAAAGATAAAGAGCAGCCGCTGACCGCTCCCGATGCGCTCTCAGCTGAATCTGAGTCTGAGTCGCACGCCGAGTCTACTCAATCAAATCTTGGTTATGAATCCAGTGCGACTGATGAACTAGGAACGACGCCCACTGCGACTTCGCACAAACAGGAACCTAAGGCTGCTGCGCCTCAGGTGGCTCAGCCGCCGGCCCCACTGGGTGCTGTGGAGCTGAAGCCATACGATCACCAAGTCGGCGGTCATTCTACTGTTTACCGTTTCTCTAGGCGAGCAGTATGCAAACAGCTAAACAATCGAGAGAATGAGTTTTACGAAACAGTGGAGCGGCAGCATCCTGAGCTGTTGGAATTCTTGCCAAGGTACGAAATCTCCCCCCGCTATTGATCGAGGCTGAGACATCAGCGAAGATCATTGCCTTCGCCTCGGTTCCTGATTAGGATATTTGCTAACATTGACATCTAGATACATCGGCGTGTTGAACGTGACCTACCGAAAAGCCCCCAAGAAGAAGAAGGTTGCCAAAGACAAAGCGAAATCTGATGCTGCTCCCACTGCTTCAGCGACGCAGTCGGAAAGCGCGTCAAGACAGGCTTCAAAGGCTCCCGAAGACCGGGGCAATGAGGAACAACCTCGAGTGGTCAGCCACTCGCAGCAGATTATGCCCATCCCCCAGGTCATCTTTGAGAACAACCGGCACATAATCCCAGACAATCTGTTCCGCGTGCCACCGCGCTCCACCACCCCAGATCCATGGATGCGCAATGCTTCCTTGTTGCAACAACAACATCGACGAAACCAAAGTGACTATGGTCACATTTCTACGAGCCCAAGTCGGCCCCCATTGCAGCATGCCAGCAGTTGGGGTGTGACGACGATCAACAGAAAGCTACAGGAGGAGGTACTCCGGCAGGTTTTTGCGCCGCCAACTATTCATCATCGACCACGCCATCATCATCACGGGATCTCAGCTCGTAAGGCGGGAGGAGACGTTCCGCAGAACGTGGCTGGCTCTGCGCCTACGATAAGGAGGAACAGCACAGATGTAGCTGGATTGCATCCACCACTCACAGAAGAGTCCACACGGAAACAAGTTCTGAAAGCTGAAGCGCACCGCTTTGCCTCGGAAAGGAGCGCTGATGCTGCCGTTTCCAGCTCCCTTGGCCAGCCAGACACCACCGCCGATGCCCTGAAGCCGCCATCGAACAATCTTCCCCGCCGTCGTCATTCTGGCAGTGGACTTACTAGAAGACCCTTGGGGATAGATACTGTCCAGAGACATAACCTGGAATACTACGAAGAGGATGGCTACGGTGGTGACGCAGAGGAGGAAGTATTTGCTATGGACGAGGATCGCAATGCCATGTCAGACGCAAAAGATCAGCACCGAGGCCGATCTGTGCAAGCATCTGGCGCAACAAACGGGGTTCATCCCCAGACACCATCAGAAGGCACAATGCTACCAGCCCCTGCTGCACCAAATGGCAACGGCGCCCCGCTTGGCGATGAACCTTCCAATCCCGAAGAAGCGCAACAACAACCCGACGAGCGCGTTCAGCACTTCATCCTTCTGGAAGACCTGACCGCAGGCATGTCCAGGCCTTGTGTCTTGGACCTGAAAATGGGCACGCGGCAGTATGGAGTGGAAGCCGATGAGAAGAAACAAAAGTCTCAAAGACGCAAGTGTAAGATGACAACGAGTGCCCAGCTCGGCGTACGTGTTTGCGGCATGCAGATTTGGAACGCCAAAACCCAAAGCTACATCTTTGAAGACAAGTACTTTGGCCGCGACTTGAAGGCTGGCAGAGAGTTCCAGGATGCGCTGAAGCGCTTTTTCTGGGATGGGACAAGTTACAAAGCAGCGACAAGACATATTCCTGTCATACTGGAGAAGATCAGCCAGCTGGAGCGCATGATACGGAATCTTCCAGGCTACCGATTCTACGCAAGCAGCTTGCTGATGCTCTACGATCGTGGGGATGGAGAGTCAAAGGAAAAAGAAGCGCAACCCTCTCTGCCCAATGGTCTCTCGAACCCGAGCAGCGAAGACGTCTCAGTAATACCATCTGGACCCACATCACCAGGCCCGACAACCGCCTCTAAGCCGACACCTAAGCATCTCCCAGAGATCAAGCTCAAGATTGTCGATTTCGCCAACTGTGTCACCGCAGAAGACCCGCTACCTGACGACTTACCTTGCCCACCCCAGAACCCGGATGGCATTGATCGAGGCTACCTCCGTGGTCTACGGTCGCTGCGCCTCTATTTCCAGCGCATCTGGCACGACATCAACGAAGAGTGGGTTGAACGAGGCGAGGGCGAAGGTATGGCGCGCAACCATCACCACGGCCCTGGCCTAGGTGAGGTCGGTGCGGGTTGGATGGACGATGCTGGTGGTGAAGACACGGGCTATGCCAGCTTCTAAAGAAGAAGTCCAGCGGAGACAGCAGAGCAGAAGTTGGTCCCCCAGACACGTCTTTTCTCTAATTCGTTTTTTGACTGGCGTTTTGAATTTCCATCGGCTTCAGGGACGCAAGCATGGCGTTTGGGCGCAATCACGGAAAGACAAAGGTAATGAAATTGGTAACTACTCTGGCATGCATCGGCGCATAGCATTTATGGGCGGCAAATCCTTTGCATTGCTTTCCTTGTTTTCGTTCTGGGGTTAATTGGGATGGGGGTTGGTCTGTGTCTTGGAGTCCGGTTGGGGTTTCTTGTATATTATCATGGAAAGAGTAGGGTAGCGCTAGCCTCATTAATGCAGCATTCTTGAATCATAATACGTTGCTCTCGCGTTAAACAATAATCACCTCATCATTGTATAGCAGAACTCACGGCTCTACATGCCTTCCTCGCCAATCTCCCCAAAAACAGCCACACCCTTCCTCCCCAAAGCCGTCCCCACACCCACAGCCCCAGCCCCTACACTCCTCATCCTCTCAAACCCAGCCTTGTCCTCCACACCACCCACCCCTATAACCACAATCCCTTTCACCTCCTCACTTTCAGACGCATCCAGCAACCGTCGCAACGTAGCCACATTTCCCAATGCGAGGGGATGCAACGGCGCGCCTGCCAGCCCACCTATTCCGGTGCCGTTTGCAGAGTTCAAGGCGGGTGTTGGAGTTGATGGGGCTGAGAGGAGTAAACTCGAACCCAACGTGTTTACGGCTGTGATGAAGGAGATGGGGCTGGGTAGGTAAACGGGTTTCATGCTGTTCTGCCCACTTTCCACCAACACACTAACCAACCCCTCGAACTGCTCGGCGTACGTATACGGTGGGATTTTGATGCCAACGGGGATTTGCGCCGTACCCCCGCTCTTCGTCAGGCCTACATCAATCGCTACTTTGAGCGCGGCCAGATACTCGCGGAGAGCAGCGGTGTTGTACGCCGGCGGCGTTTTGCCCGGGATGTTGGGGCAGGAGAGGTTGATTTCCATGGCTAGTGGCATCTTGACATTGGACTGCGTGGTGGCGATGAGGCTGTAGCATTGTGCTATCTCTTCTGCGGAGCCGGTTACAGACACGATCACCGGCTTGAAACTTTCCCTCTCGTTTGACGGTTCGTCGCCCATCCTCTTACTGATTGTCTTCACATACTCTAGATACTCGGCCAGCGGAATCGGTGAATACCCCAGCGTATTCAAGCTCCCTGTCGTGCTAGCATCGCCGCCGAGGTCTTTGTTCGGCGTGCTGGTTGCGTGCGTTGAGGGGTTGAAGAAGGTGAATTGGTGGTGGGCGGGATCGTGGGGGAAACCGCTGAGGAGGGATGTGCGCGTTGTGATGGCGCCTGTGTGTGGACTTTCGTAGAGTTCCTGGAGTTGCTCAAGGGTTGTGCACCAGGGGTTTGCGGAGTTGAGGAGGGGTGGGGTGATGGGTGGAAGGGGCATTTTGGGGAGCTGTGAGAAGGTGTTTTACTCTAGGTCTCGGGAGCATATGGGTGGTGGGTGGTGGTGCATGGAAAATGGGAGATGTGTCGTCTTGGATGTTTTGGCGTGGAAGTGGGGTGGAATGATAAGCTTTCTTTTGTCTCGGGACTTTTGTAGCTCTAGATAGATAGGGCAGGTGGTACGTGACTCATTTTCGAAGTCAAGGCAATCTAAAGAGGTTGCCTAGATAGGTAGGTCGATATCATATGAAACGTATCAAATGCGAGGAGGTCACACATCAGAAGGCTTGTTGTGATTCTTTACATTCATTCATTCGGATTCCTCATGATTACTTGAACTATACACAGTACTCACTCGAACCCATCTCCACCACCTACTTAACCGAACAGCACATCACCAAGACGAATGGAAACAGTCTTCGTCTGGATGTAGTTGTCCAGCGCCGCCTCACCCAACTCGCGGCCAATACCAGACTCCTTGTAACCACCTGCAGAGAAGTCAGTATATGTCTCACATGCATTTCGTACAGCCAGAACTTACCGAATGGCAGCTGCCAGTGAAGAGTGTTGTAAGAGTTGACCCAGACAGTTCCGGCGCGGAGCGCGTTAGCAACCTCGATGGCAGTGGTGAGGTTGGAAGTGTGGACCGCGGCGGCAAGACCGTAGGTGGTGTTGTTGCCGATCTTGATGACGTCGGCCTTTGTCTTGAACTTGGAGATTGTGCAGACGGGGCCGAAGATTTCTTCTTGTTGGATCTTCATGTCCTCGGTTACGTTGGAGAAGATGGTGGGCTCGATGAAGTAGCCCTTGTCGCCGTGGCGGTTGCCGCCGGTCTCGACGGTTGCGCCCGACTTCTTGCCCTCCTCGATGTAGCTAGAATTTGTGTTAGCAATGGCTTCAATGTTGGAAGGACATGATATTGCTTACCCCATGATACGGTCGAATTGGAGCTTCGAGACCTGAGGTCCCTGGAAAGTGTCCTTGGCGAATGGGTCACCGACAGCGTTCTGGGCGGCCCTCTCCTTGAAGCGAGCAATGAACTTGTCGTAAATCTCTTCTTGGACGTAGATACGCGATCCAGCGCAGCAAGCCTGTCCGTGGTTGAAGTAGATACCAAAGTTGACCCAGTGGATGGCCTCGTCCAGGTCGGCATCGGCGAAAACAATGTTGGGGCTCTTGCCTCCAAGCTCAAGAGTGACCTTCTTCAAGTTGGAGCCAGCAGCGGCCTTCATGATTTGACGGCCGACGACGGTTGAACCAGTGAAGGCAACCTTGTCGACATCCATGTGGGCGGAGATGGCGGCACCAGCGACCTTTCCGAAACCAGTGATGACGTTGATGACACCTGGTGGGAAACCGGCCTCTTGGATGAGCTTGCAAGCTACGTATGCGGAGAGAGGAGTCTGCTCAGCTGTCTTGATGACAACGGTGTTACCAGTGGCGATGGCAGGACCAATTTTCCATGACCACATGAGAATGGGGAAGTTCCATGGGATAATTTGTCCGCAAACACCGATCTGGAATTGTTAGTCACGGGACTTAGACATGTAAATGTGTAGAACTTACGGGCTCCTTGCGAATGTAGTTGAAGCTGTCGGGTGCTGTGTCGACGACCTTGCCCTCAATCTTGTCGGCCCATCCTCCGTAGTACCTCAAGCAACCAGCGGCGGCAGGGATATCGACGTTCCTGGCCATGCTGAAAGCCTTACCGTTGTCGAGAGCCTCGACTGAGGCGAGAAGATCGGCATTCTTCTCAAAGAGGTCGGCGAGCTTGACAAGCAGCTTTCCTCGGTTCTCTGGTGTCTCCTTCCGCCATGGGCCGTTGAAGGCCTTGCGTGCGGCGGCGACAGCAATGTCAACATCCTTCTCGGTGGCCTCGGCAACATTGCAGATGACCTCCTCGGTAGATGGGTTGATGACCTCGAAGGTCTTGCCGTCAACGGCCTTTACGAACTCATTGTTGATGAAGCTGGTTGATGTCAGTATTGACGATGCCGAAGCATTACAAAGTCTCCGAAGAACTTCGGAGACTGGATATCTGACTTACAGTCCGGTGGGCTGCTCGTACTCGCCCGTTTGGGGGGTTGTTAGCTTTACGGATGTCATTGCGAAAGCGAATTGGGGTATATGGACAAAACAAAGCTGTGAAGTGAAGAGGGGTAGGGGCGCAAGTAAATCCTTAAGTACTTTCAGGAGCTCCGCATGACGACACTAGAGGTTATCTCCACTCGAGACAGGACAACAGCACGATCGCCCAGACAGCCTCGGCCATCAGGAGCCAGTCTCAGGAAAGCGCTGCAGCCTATTGCGTGTCTCGACGATGCATGGCCGGGTGGCGCTTGATGCAACGGCGGAAGCTCTTGCCCCGCTTTCGTAGCCAGTGGTAAGCTACCCCTCCCCCGCAGTTCTGCTCTGGAAGTCCTCGAAGCCGCAGCTAACCCTGCTACACGCGGTACTGGAGTCTCTAATTTGGAATAGACACCTATTGGCAACTGATGCGCATCCGCAAAAGGCATTTCTCCACTTGCGGCGCGTGGTCATCTCGATACAGCATCTTTCTATAACGCATACCGCAGGACTAAGCTCGGAGCTCTAGACACGTATCCAAGCAAAACATACCCACCATCGGAGCCACTACGCTAAAGCCGAAGGGGCAGCCCTATGGACCATATCGTCGTACCCCCAGCTAGCTCGGCCCTTTTTCGAGCGAGCACCGGTATGGCGAGGATAACACTGATCCACAACCCCGAGCCTAGAGTAATCGCTGTATGCACGTGGGCGACCTGGATTGCAAACATTGAGAGCGCAAGATACTCAGCTCATCCGGTCCGTCAGCTGCATCGGATGAACGCTCCTTTCACCCAGCCAAATCCTAGTCAGAGGCTAGAGTCCTGGTAGCCGCGGGCCTCCACACCACCTAGTAAATCGCGGGGAAGGTGCGACAAAATTTGAACTAATGACGTTGGCGTGAGAACTTCGCACGAAGGGGTACTGCGGCGCGAATAGGAGCATGCAAGGACCGAATAGCTGTCAACCGGAGAGCACTACACATGAGCAGATAGTGGTGTGATCCGGGCTGCTGGGAAGCGCCAACCCGGTCACTACGAGTAGAGTTCACATTTTGTTGTCGCGGAGTCCTCCGGAGAGAAAAGCACGGAGCGATTCCGCTGTACCGAGTCGTACTGTCCAGCAAGCTTTCTAAGCCTCGCTGATCTTCTATATGATCGTCTCTCTGCAGCATGTCATTGCCGTCTTGGGCTCGTGCAAGCCTCAATATTGCCATGTTGCCACGCTCTAGGAATGTGGCAGCTCTTCATTTCGGTGTGTTTCAGCCCACACGCTGGCCGGGTTCCGTCCACAATATCGGGAGAGCCTGGAGGTCGGTGTATGTGAACATTCGAATAAAGGTACTTCACGATGGATGAGTCGATGAGATAAGTTTTCATGATCATGTTTCCGATTCATAGCCGTTCTGATTGAAGCTACCAAATACCCGGCGTGCAATTTAGGAGCCGTGAATAAACGTCCATGAAT